ATTACTTGATGGTAAACGGAAGTAAAATAAAACATTTTTATCTTATACGAAGTCAATATATTAGTACATTATGGCAAAAATGTCATATTCCAATTTCTGAACGACGAAGCACTTATCGATTTTTTTTGTATAAAAAATAAATGATCAATAAATGTTTACACAGCTAAAAACTGTCTAAGATTTCTATAAATACATTTATCTCAGACTTCAAAAAAACACAACTTTAGATCATCATTCTGGAACAAAACCTTAATGACAACCTTCAACTACTACTGTACAGTTTTAAGATCTAGTCTAGCTGTTACGTTTTAGATATGATAAGGATAATCAACAGATCTTACATCAAAAAGTTTTTTATGAAGCCAAATCTACTAAAGTTTGTCTAGGTTCTGAGTAAAATACTATGCCATACATATTCAACTGAATCTATTCACCGCGGATTTTTCTGTCACTGTTTGAGAAGTGTATTTTTTTCATGAAAGGAATCTGCCTATTTCAAAAAGTAACAAGTATCTGTTAATATATTTCAAACTAAAGTCGATTCATTTTTCTTAAACAACGCTAGGAATCTACAGGCTAAAATAAATCTATAAATATTACAAATCAAGTAACTTTTTTATTGTCAAAGCATTTCCATCCTTATAAAAACATAGTCTTGGTATTTGATGCAATTAGACATTATTTACCTTGATGAAATAAAACAAACAATTATTTTCTAAAAACGTGACTTCCTAAAACTTTATCATTGGCGGTATAAAAATATAGATATAAATAAGTAACTCATAGACTGAACGAAATGCTTATCACAACCATTACTTATCCTCTTGTTAATACTAATTATAGTATAAACATGCATGAAACACAATCGCTTACACATTCAGTTTATAATTTATTAGGTAGTTCACGATTATTTTTCTTATGAATGAATACATGAATAGATCAAATAAATTTCTTAAAGAGTGGAAGAACAAAGACTGATGCAGAATAATATAAGTTCATTTTATTTCGTTAGGTTCTCATCAGCTGCTTACAACCTAAATTATTTGAAAATCAACATTATTATAGATATTAACATTACTTATACATTACATTACTTATAACCTCAATGTTCTGCCATGATCAAAACAACCTACCAAAAATATTTTATCCTCAATTCTTTAGTTTTGAGTCAATAACTATTCCTATCAATTGATCTGAATAGTTCATTTTAACAAAACAGTTTCAACCATTCTTTTTACACTTTGTTATACTTTAACGCAGTAGGCCGCAATATCCGTGTTGTTTCTGGTTAGCGTTTTTTAGCAAGATTGTTTTCTAGGGGGTCAGGTTGCTGACACCATGGCCAATCCTCCTCTTTTACCCAGATCTGGAGCCCATAGTAACCTTGGTAGATCAACAGGTGAAGTTACAGAATATTCACAATACAAATTTGATTTTTGAAAAAAATATGGATAACGAACAAAACTCTTATTCTCCTAAAGTTAAAAAATTAATTGTTTTCCATCCCTTGGATAAATTTACTTCGGTCCCTATAATCACCATTTTTTACATCATCTGTATAAACCAATGAGTTGCGCTATGTTTGTCAAATACGTAAAATGATTATAAATCATATTATCTTCTCTCCTTACTGTTATTTACAATATTTTTTGGATAATTATCCCTGAAGTTTATTTTAAAGTTCCCTTAAACTTGTCACCAGTTACAGTTTACCACAGAAATTACACGCAAAGAAAAACTTATTAAACAATTCTGAATTTGAATTCTATGCAAAAACGTATTTGATCTCAACTTAGAGATTTTTGTTGTCAAAACTCTGGACTCATAAAATGCAGATGTTGTGAACACATTGAAAATAATATGTGTCCCTTTCACATATATCTATGTCTGATAATAAATATAGCTTGGATTCTAGGCAGAATATTAGACATGTTGTCAAACATTCGTTAGTTCACTTCGAATATGTCGTTTTACTGTTTGGATTTTAGTAAATTAAACTGATGTCATTATCAAATTTGAATCGTAATGAACTATTTTGTAATATTCAACTACGTACGATATTTTCTGTAGATGTTTGTTTCTTACCAACTTACGTGCCTTATTTACTGATCAGTTAAGTTTCCCTCTTTTTATTTAAGTTGTCTAAAGTAACTGATCGACTAGTTGAGACAAATCACCAGAAACAGTTATCTGTATTATTTTGTCACTATTACTATTCACTGTTTATTTCGTAATAAACTAACTTAGATAAACGTCTATGACAGATTTATTTATGTATGAAATGAAAACAATCTAAATAAACCACATATTGTGTTTAATATATCATGACTATCCGTATAGGTAGTAACTTCAATCTAATTTATAATTCTTTTTATTCATGAATAATTTAGTTTGTTGACAAGTATGATTACTTATTAGTAGAAAAATCAAAATCTTCCTAGAAAATAACTATTAAATATATGAAAGCGTGAGTCAATTGAAGCTGAACCACCATGGAAAACCTAGAAGCTCTGGACGGCCATTTCGTCCTATTATGGTCTATCAGTTAAGGGCTCTGGCTCGAGACTGGTAGGTCCTGGGTTGGAATCTCGCAGGGCGAGATCGTGGATGCGCACTGCTGAGGAGTCCCATAATAGGACAACACGGCCGTCCAGTGCTTCTAGGTTTTTCATGGTGATCTAGCGTCAATTGACTCACAAGCATATAACATAGATTACACTATATAAACAAATGCTTTCATACATTTAAAGTTCATGGAGATTTATTTGATTTGAAGAAAGGCATTTTATATAAAATAACATCAAGAAGAAGCGTTGGAAGTGGATAGGACACACTTTGAGGAAATCACCCAACTGCGTCATAAGACAAGCCCTCACATGGAATCCTGAAGGCCAAAGAAGGAGAGGAAGACCGAAGAACACATTACCCTGAGAAATGGATACAGACAGACAGAAGAAGAAGAAGAAGAAGAAGAAGAAGAAGAAGAAGGAACAAAAGTTGGATAGAACTAGAAAGGAGGGCCCAGGAGAGAGTGTGTTAGAGAATGTCAGTAAGCCGCCTGTGCTCCATTGGGAGTAACAGGCGTAAGTAAGTGTTAACTAATTTGAGCGTTATTCATAAAACTTGCAGTTTTGAATAAAATTGACATAACAATTGCAAGTCGAGTCCTGAAGTATCAGTGTTATTGGGTAGACGCTACAACTTAATTACTAAAACAAATCTAATACATTATCGATTAAAATTTAATATACATAGGTAATTGACATATAATAATCAATAACTTACACCTTACTAAAATAAATTAAGTAAAATATCCCGGTCATAACGTTTTATCGAATAGCACATCGTAAGAAATCGTTGAAATAAATAGGCAGTTATTATTTTGAAAACATGGGTGATAAATATTGAACAGAGTAAAGTTTATACACTGTATTAATAATCTTTAATCGTTTGAAAATTAGTAAGAGTTTTTATTCTCAATCCGTTAACCTACAAGACTGTAACTGATCAATCTCTTATCAATACTTTCATACTCACTGAATTTAGTTAGTAGCCAAATGGATTCAGTAGCTCAGTAAATAACACCTTTTTATTATAAGTGAAATATAGTGGGTTTGAGTAAACATCAACACTGGGATTCAGGTATATCCCTGACAAATAGGATGAAACTCCAGTCCTAGGCCTGACTACTGACCACGTATTATATATACTAAAACAATTAGAATAGTTTTGATAATTGTGTAAATTTTTTCTAAAACAAATATTTACAGTTAGTTAGCAATACATTTATTCACCTTTACTTTTGTACAGACATCTAATAACGAAAATCTACTGTGTAAAAGGTGAGGGTCACTGATTTTTACATGACGAAAGAGATCAATTTATTAAGCCACGAATTATTGTGAAACCTAACAAGAGATCATTAACAATTTCGTGTATAAATATTTTTCTCTGTATCAATGATGATCAATTAAAACTTACGGTTTTAAATAACCTGTACTGTAATTATTAAAATAAAGTAACTTTAAGTGATCAGTTTGAAAGTGATGATTTTAGTCTAGGAAAACAAACGTTGACAGGAATTGAATATGAGTTATCCAGGTAACTGACATTACCCTGTAACAACGGAGCCTTCGCCTTAAGATTCTTATTTATTTTTAATTTAAATTGTATAATGTGATTTTCATGCGTCAGCCTCAATAAAAGTTTCCTTAAGATATAGGTATCATTACCAAGTTTTGATTTGATAATTTCTAATAAACTGAGCATTGGATAGATTGTTATAAATAAATTAATATATTTGTAATATCCCATATTCTTCAGAGAATAAATAACCAAATTAACATTAATCCAAGTTTAAATAGTACAACGGAACAACATGAATATTAGGTGATCAATCAAAAAACAGGTCTGAATAAATCAATGTCATGTCGTTTCATTTCGGTCAAGGTAATTACAAGGTGGCTTACAATGAGTCACGAAATGTCAGAAAATCTAATTTTTCTACTCACTGGGATATTACAAATCTATTAATTTATTTTCTAAAGGTAGTTAAAGTTTGTTCAGAAACATTGATCAATTTATTATACGTAATTTATATCTATACACGAAAAAAATAACTTCAAGTCTTAAACTAAAATTATTGCTAAATTAGAAAAATTCCTTAAACTTTCAGAAAGTTTTCAACCCTTGCCTGTTAACTGTTAAAAATGCATCCTATCAGGTATATACAGAAGTATCAACCAGAGATCTGCATATATCATTAAAACAAACCTAATAATACTGGTTTATTTCTATGTTAAAGCCCCATATCATGTTATGTTTGTACAAATTATACAAACCGGAATAATATTTGGGGTGTCTTTGAAGAAAACGTTTTACACTCAAAACTTTCGATTGCTTTACGTTTTCGTAGAATGGAAAATTAAAACGTTGTATGGGTATACAGCATAACATAATAATAATAATAGTAATCATAATTTCTTATGTACATTACTCTGTTATGTTAACCAAACCCAAATATACATAACAGACATATATAAGTTTAAACACCATTTAAATGTGCAAAACATTGTGTTTAGTGAAAAATACACTGATTGAGTTAGGAATTCTTTTAATCTAACGAACAACTAATCAGTATTTTGTATACTCATCCCACCCCCACTATAATCATTGGATTGGCTATTCTTACCAAGAGTTTTATTTATGATTTATTTCATGAGGTGATAGTATGAAAGACACAACACTGAACACAAGCAATTAGGTTCCCATACTTTAGAACTAGTTATGTAAATTTAAGTATAGATAATTCTCTATTGTGAGTGTATAAGAGAAATAGGCGTATTGATCGGCCAGTTTATAAACTTTGATAGTTTTTAATCGAACGATCGGTTGATATTTTGTGGAAACTCTTTTACCTGACTGATTGTATATTTTGATTAATTTGTATGAGAATGGATAGTGGTGCATCAGAATTCGTCAAGATGGAAACACCAATGTCAAATGATAGTGAAAAGCTGTTCTCAGTGAGTAAACATTTTATGTATTTTATGGTTCTGAATTAAATTTTTTTTGTTATAATGAAAAAAAGTGATTTTTTTTTACAGAAAAACGTATTTATTTCATGAAAAGCGACTTATTTTGTTACCATAGTTTTCTACAACTAACTGGCGTTATTGATTTACTGTGAGGTTTTTTATCACCATGCATTAAAAAGGATTACACTCATTTTCGGAGATATATCTCTAAACATACATTAACTTATAATAATCAAACACAGAACTCTAAATCTTTACAGATTTTTTTCAGCTATTGAATTTTCTTCAAATGGTTTGGAATCTAGAGAGGTAACCAGTATAATAATGACAGCACATTGTGAAATTTAGTACTTGTGTAGTCGATAAAGATTTTCTGATATTTGTATTTAAATAATTATCTAGGTTATTGCGAATTCAGCTTACTGTCGAACTCTACAACTGTAATAATACCCCCCCCCAGATACTACCTATCTTGAAACCGTAAAAAGTGTTCACGCAACGCTAGTGAGAATATTGTAGTGCATCGATGTGTCTCTTCAAAAACAAATTTCAGATTATTTAAAGAAGTACTAAACTGTTAGCAAGTTCATGTATTTCAAAAGTTTTTTATACTTAAGATAATAATACATTTGAGTGTAATCAAGCACAAAATGTACTTTTGCCTGAACCATTCAGAATTTTTCGTAACTTTTACTGAAAAGCCTAATTGTAATGTTAGATTCTTCTTGTCATATTAATTTGTTATCAACATTTTCTCCAATAAAACTTAGTAATTAACTACTGTTACATCATAGAGTTGATAGAAAGCCTAAAACTGCATTATTTAAAAAGACTTAATGATGTTTTTAGCTATTTGATTATTTTGCATAAATATTTTTTCCTGAATATTGAACATATTTCATACCCAGTTTATCATTGTCATGGTTCTAACTAAATTAACTGTGAATAATTATTTCACCATACTCTCATTTGTTTTGTGTACACGTTATGTTTGCTGTATTCGTTTTTTTGTATGAAAATTAAACATTCACCTATTTCCATAGTGCGATTTCAACGAAACAGTTTATTCCATCTTACGTAACATAACCTAGAAAAACTATACACATTTATAGGTTTTGCAACTTAATTTCTTATATTACCCATTAACAAAACAGTGAGATGTGGTGTTTTTAGAGAGTTAAGAAAATTGTATCTAGGATCTTTTTGAAGCTAAATAAATGAATCACTATTATTCTTTCTTTATATATGGGAAATAGATAAGCAATGCTAAAAACACAATGACTAATTTATCATTATTTGAGTACTTTAAACGAAAAAAAATTAAAGTGATCTTAAATGTATAACTGCTTAAATCAAACACTTTCAATTATATCTGATCATTTCATTTAATCGTAACCAGAAAAAAACTAACTTACTGGGTCAAATAGAATATTGTATTGAGATTCGAATATTCATCTATACTCTCGAATTGTCATTGGTTAATATATTATCAAAACTACACCGGAATGCTTTTTTAACAATAACCTATCTTTCATTTATCTTGATAATAATCCTACTGAAATAAATATTTTCTGTTATAGTTTAAAGCAGAATTATCAATGAAACATCTCAGAAGGAGATTTTGTGGAGATTTTAGTAATTTTATACAGTTGAAATCATGAGTCAATTGAAGCTAGACCACCACGGGAAACCTGGAAGCACTGAAAGGCTGTTTCGTCCTATTGTGGGACTCCTCATCAGTGCGCATCCACGATCCCACCTCTCGAAATTCAAACACGGTGGAGTCCAACCAGGTCTGTTGGTAGATATCAACTCACTGAAGGCATTGGTGGATGGTTGCTCAATTTCGTGGATTGTTGAAGTTAGATATTAACACCGTTGGATGCTGGCTCAGTGATCTAGTGGTTAAGCGCTCTCGCGCGAGACTGATAGGTCCTGGGTTCGAATCTCGCGAGACGAGATCGTGGATGCGTACTGCTGAAGAGTCCCACATTAGGACGAAACGGCCTTTCACTGCATCCAGGTTTTCCATGGTGGTCTAGCTTCAATTGACTCATGATTTCAACTAAATAAAACATTTAATAAGAAAGTCTTGTGATTCATGCAAATTGAAATATCTAGTTGATTTGATAATAAACTTTAGGTTACACAAAAAATCCTTTTAAATTTAATTTTCTTATCAATAGTTTTCCATGATGATTAATAAAGAAAAAAAAGATCGTCTATCAACATCAAAACATAAGTAGATTATCTTATGTACAAATTACGAATTGAATTATTATTTAAGAAAATAACTTTTTTATATTCCCTAGTGAATTGAGATTAAATGCATTACACTGAATACTTTTATTTGCTATTTTTTTATTTTTAGACTAATCATAACTAATCTATTTCTGTTTGCTACAATATACTGTGTATAAGTTCCTTTTTTATTATCAAAGTATCAACCGGATTAATCTGTTTTTTTCTTTCTATAAACTGTAAAGGTTAGGCATAATATGCATCAAACATTTTATGTTGATAATTTTATTAAACTTAAAGCAAATAAATATGGGTAGTGTCTAGCAGTGAAATCCAGGACGCGCGTTTCTTCCTATTTGGAACTCGTCAGCTGGATGTACCTGCATCTCAGAGTTGATGTTCACTCTGAGACTCAAATCCAGTACCGTTCGCTTCAAACGCCATCGCGTTATTCACTTGGCCATAGGACAAAACGTGCGTCCTGAATTCCAATGCTAGCCACTATCCATCTTTGCTTACAATGATTGTGAATTAAGGCTAATACGCACAGTATGAACATATGACAATTAGAGACTGACTAGTTGCAGTCCTAAACATGAATGGGAAGATTCAAACAAACAATACTTAGTGAACTTAAAGTAAATGTTTATTTATATGAAAGGATAAGCTCTATGTAAAGTTAATACGAAAAAGGGGGAAATAACTTCTCTATAATTTAGAATATATAATATGTATCATTTCTTAAATATAGTCTCTATCTTTTAATTCAAATGACGACTAAATGTATACTTAATGTTACATATAGCATTTAGTACATATGTTAAGGCCTCCTATAGATTATTTTTTTTACTTAGTTTCTATTCATTATAATACTTAATATTTAATGTTAAACATAACATAAAATATAAATTAAAGTCAACTACAATGTAAACAGTTAATAAACAGTAGCTTTATTCTAGTCTGTAAAATATTCAAGAATTCATACAGTTTTCCAGATAAGAACATTCAGGTTATATGACAAATACTATATGGTTAATTTATTGAGACTTAGTACGCTTACACATATCTTTCAACTTTACTCAGATTTTAAGCTTGGAAGTTAATTATTCGTCATTATTGATGATAGTAGACTGATTGCATAAGTTACAAATTTGCATATGAAATCGGAAGTATGAGTTGGAAAATAAAAGTGTCTAGTGAAGACAAATTAGTTATTTAGTTCTATAAAATTTTTAGTATTTCTACAGTTGATGACGGTTTGATGTGATATTATCTTAAATAAATTAAGTTTTCACATACATCCGTTTGAATAATAATAAGTCTTCATTACACTGCATATATATATATATATATCCATAGATTAAAATGTATAAAACTGGCATTTTCTATGTATTATATAAATACAAATATCGGCTATGGAGTTTTATCTTTAAATCGATTAAAAATCGTTGTTAAACCTTCATTACAGACATGCGTACTTGACAGTATATCAAACTATACAAAAACTAAACAGTAGCTATTTTGCAACTGAGTTTGTTTTATTTAACAACAAAGAATTATCATATGAATGGAAACTATCTCTTGACTTGATTATTCACTTACGAAAATGATTCCTTCTTTATAGAGACGTTCGTGGTTTGATGTGCATATACAACAAATCTAATGTATCAAACATTTTGATGTATGATTTAATGAATGACATTGGTCAACTGACTTGTTTTTTATAATTATAATAAATATTTCATTGTTTTGAATTAAATCTTCAGTAATAAACAGGCTAATTAGCTTGTTTCTTTGATTAACATACAAATCACCTTAGAGCTATATATCACTAATAACTTCAAGAATAAATGTAGTTAACTTAAGTGTGCAAAATGTTTCATAGAGTATCCCAGATCGTGCAAGTGATCAAGCAAAGTTGTTTTGATACGTTTGTAGCTTTTAGTGAATATACTGTCAGATACTGAGAAAACAGTTTATTCTTCACTGTTACTCCTTATAAGAATAATCTGAAAACGGTCGTTAAATTGCCGTTCACCTTGACAGAAATTTCTTTAGTATAAAAGTAAAAGTAAACTTTCATTAAAGTTAAACAATAAAGGTTATGGCTAGAAATTCCGTTTTTTAACAAAATGAAGAAAACATTCACTTAGAGCAGTTACAAAATTTTAGATGCTGCCTTTATTCACCGGTGATTGACTCATTAACATAATACTATTTTAGTGAGGATATCTCTCACTGTGTTTTTTTACATTACTTTCAAACATACATTACAAATTTATAAACGACTAGAATATCGTTCATTTTTATTTAATACCATGTCAACATCCAAGGAAATGTGATAGGTCATGTTTAAACTACAATACCTTTCTGTGGAAGCTTATTCTAATTGTTTAAATCATCTAACAGATCTGACTTACAGGATATGGTCTATTAGTTATGTTATTTAAAAGTGTACTAATAATTGTACGATTGGTACTTGTTGTTCTACACACATTACAAGCAAGTATATGGTCTATCATAATATTTCCAACCAATTTTTTGTTAATAAAGTCGTGTCCATAACATTAGTGGGAGCGAGAAAAGCATCGTGAACAGAACATGGACATGTTCTATGAATATCGTCCCAGAGAATTCTATGTCGTGCATTGTTTGTCGACGTTGGAACTGGTTGGAAAAAGAGGAGAGGTGGTCAGTGTATGACATGGTGATGTGGTATGAAAGGAAGCTGAAAAGCAATGGCTTCT